TATATATTTAATAATAAATTTTACTCTTTAAAATATTTTCAGATATCATAGATCACTTCTTTTTACTGTGACGTCATATTTCTTACTTAAGCAATCAAACGCTAAAAGCCTGAGTCCATAGAATACAACATTTGCTCAGCCATTCAGGTTTTTCTTTTTGTTTATTTATTTATTTACATGTCTATTTGTTTTTTATTATTATCATCATCCTCCTCATCATCATCATTATTATTATTTTAGATGTATAATGAAAGAAAGTTTAAATTTGTTTACCTCCGGTAGAAGAACTTCCGGGAGTTATTGGGTTACCAGTATGAGCTGCAGGTGGCTGGGTATTTGCCTGATTAGGTGCCTGTGTTGCTGAGCCAGTGGTACCACTTCCGGTACCACCTGTGCCAATTGTGCCTGAACTGGAACCTGCTCCGGCTCCTGTAAGTAAGTAAACAGCGTTTGTTTTACTTTCACTTACATCTTTGTCGTAAATAATCATGAATAATATGTTTAACTGTAGCGTTTCGATGCGTTTTACGATGAACCATTTCTGATGAACCTCAAGTCTTACTTAACACGATACATCACGACTAAGATATCTTCAAATTTAATCAACTGCAAACTTCAAATTAAAGATCATTAAAAAAAAAACAGAAATACGTTTTTACATTGTATAATGTCTTATAACATCAGAGTTTCCACCCCTACCTTCAATAACGTAAGTTGATTGCGGTGCTTGATCCCCTGACATATGACCAATAAATTCTATTACTAAGTCTTCTCCAGGCTTCAGATCCGCGTCCCATGGCATGTTTTTCACGACCCATTCTGTGGGACTGTGTGATACGACAGTGGCTTTCCATATCTTAAAAAAATAGCAGCATAGTAATTATTATTGTAACAAAAGCGTTTGCCAAGTCATGTCTCAAACAATAGAAACTGAAATAATCCAGATTGATAAGAAATAATCTAGACTTAGGATATGTAATATGTATTCCAGACACGAATGTTTTGCATAGATCTTTGCAATTCCATGTTTGGCTTCGTAAAATAGTTTTGTATAAATCGGCAATTCCTTCCTGAAAGCAAAACTTGAAGATGAAAATGGCCATCCTAAATTCAAGTCGTTTGAAACCTTAAACTGTAACCGCCTGAAGTTTTCCATAAATAAAAATTGATATTAAATAAGTTCATATATTAGGTGAATGCTATAGCGGTCTTCCATATTCTAGTATCCTTCGTGATTATTGATCTCCGTCTTTTGGTCTTATGGTAATTTGTTCCTCGCTGCTTATTCATATATCGTGTGTGATAAGAAGTCGGTCTCTTGCGGGGAAATTGACAATTTCTGGTTAGTTATCCAGAAAAGCCGTTTTAATAGACCGACCACCGTAATATGACTAATATGTGCTGATATCGACGTACGTTTGTAAATACCAAACCAAACAAACAAACAGACGCGAATACTTTGTGTTTTTACATAGTATTTAATACATGCGTCGGTGGACTTCCATACATTCAAAAACTGCACTACAAGAATAAATTTTATTTGCCTTATAATGATTCAAAACAAGGACAAGAAAAATGGAGATACTATATAAAGACAATTACATAATCAAGGTTATCTACAGTGTTTAAAATCGGACCCTGACATTCATAGAATAAGCTTGGGTCAAAAACTAAGACTTGCATTGACATAATAATTTCTTAAATGTCAAGTTCATATTAAAATCTTAGACATTTTTGGTGTGGATCGGACTCGGACCTCTTTCCTATACGGCCAACATTCTGTAGATCGATTTTATTTTTATTTTCGTGAATATCAATTCAAAAACCAGTTATACAAATCATCAATGTCTTATTTGATTTAGTTAAAAGCCCTACATATTTCAGCCATTCAAATACACGAAACAAAACTTATTGCTTGTATCTTGTTTATTTCAAAATTAAATCAAACTGGCTGTCCCCGGACAATTTAATTGAACGCTTATGTAATTTTGTTAAGAAACGAAAAGATGCGACAATTGCCGAAATTTGTTGAGAATTTACGAGTTTTTGCAATGTTTCCGTAATTTTCCGTTTACCTCGAGGCTATCAATGGGTTTATCAAATGTAAGGTGAGCCTTCCATCCGTGAACAGCATGGTCAGCATGAACTGTGAACGTTCCTTGAAATCCACCGTTCCATGAATTCAAAATGTTCACAGGTGCTCCGAGTGATGACGTCACGCAGACAAGCAGCAGAAGAGACAACATCTTTTGTCTGTGAAGAAGATGTAAATAAATTATCTGTACAGTAAATACTTATCCCTTACTCTTTGAAAATATCTTTAAATATGGATGGTTAAAAGCAACCATAGAAAAAACAGGTACATTATACCTACAAAAAGCGGTACCCGGTATTGTCTGTTCAAGCTACATACATCCAGATAAGCCAATATGTTTTCAAGACAGTCAGATTTGATATAAATGTACTAAGGTTTTAAGAAAAGTAAAAAGATTCAAGATTCAAGCAATAGTTAAGTTATTTGCGATTAATGACTAATTTTACTGTAAAGCACTGTATATCTACAGCGTGACTAACGCAGTATGGAATATTTTGGCATATTCTGGCTCTTTTTTCTTCTTTTTTTTTTGTTATTTACGTAAATTTTCTTTGTTTACTTCCTATTATTTTATTTTATGCACATTTTCAAAATGTTCATGGAAGTTTGCATGAATCTGGATGCATGCTTTATAACTATTATAATTGCTTTAAACAACCATAATATTATGACTGTTCTGACGATGATGATTTGAATGAAGACAATGTGATGTGTTGGTAATACAACGAATCGACACTAAGGTGTGGCGAGTCGTTATTAGGCGAATCGTCAGTGGTGTGAATCGTTATCAATTCTATTTGTTATGTTAGGTGGTAATTTACAATTGCACAAATATCGTACTGAAATGGGTACTTTACACCGAGTTTCACTAATAAAATGTAATTTTCTTTTCAGTACGGTTTGTACTGAACATAAACTCATGTCACTTCTTTCTTTCTTCTTTCTTTCTTCTTTCTTTCTTCTTTCTTTCTTCCTTTTTCATTTTCATAGTGGCTGACTTGTGATCCCATGTACAGCATTTCGTGCAAAGGCGTCAGAATAAGCAATTACATTAGAAAAAAATCAACAAAATAATAAATAATGCATATAGAAACGAGTCTCCACAAAGCTTGGATGTTGTCATATGCCCTCACAGTGTACATGTATGTGACTTAAATCACTTACCATGCAAAATTTGTTTTTATTACTTTTAAGTTAAATAATGCAACTATAATTGTATAATATAATATTATTTTTATTATTAAGAAATCGTAATTCATCTACAAGAAAAAGTTTAAGAGACACAAATGAACTTTATATTTACTCACGTCACAGTATTTTATTGTGGCACTAAACGATGATTCCCCCAAAACTTGTGCAGCTCACTTAGATAAGGCCTTACTTTATATAATTTCATATCGTTACGCAAATATGCAGTCTAATATTGTAAAATGGTGTAAACATTTAAATTTTGCGGGAGAACAATTCAATCGGAACCATCATCTCGGCTATTACCAATAATAACCGAAGCTATTTTCCGAAGCTTGACGAACAGAGACGAGAATAATTTTGAACTTTTAATTAAAGAAATACTAAAGATGACAATTATTCGTACCAGAATAAGGACGTTAATTAGAGGTTAATTCTTGGTTGCTGCTCGCCATTATGCGATAATGGTCCGAAAATGTGCATTAATGGCCTGCGGCCCTTATGCCATTATGCTCATCTTCGGGCCATTATCGCATAATTGCGAGCAGCAACCAAGTATTAACGTCTTTAATACCTATGTCCGAAATACGGCGTTTAGACATCGCCGCTAATCTTGGTTGTCGCCCTTTCTAAGAAACGGACAGTTGTCAATGTAAACAAATATCTGTCATACTGTACAATTTCACAGACACTTGGGGTTTGGAGCTCAAAACGCCTTTAAAATCCAAATAAAATGCATATTTGTCAATCCCAGCACATGTACTGATCATATATATCAAAAAAACTTAATATAAGCCGTTTTGAAAAAAATTCATATTTCAACATCTATAATAATACACAAGATAAAAATGTTCGCCGGAAAAAATCCGCACCCCTACCGTCATAATCACCATGTATTTTATTCCATTTCCAATATTTTCACATAATCCTTTGGTCCATCGACACAGAAGATATAATTCTTCACGATGATGGTCAATTTTTAACTTCAACGGTAATATAAACAACGCAACAGCCGAAATAAATATCAAGATTATCGCCGTTTTCCTTCAATGACATTATATTTCGATAAATTCAAACGTGCCAGTCGGCTATGACCGAAGCCATCCGATAATGTGGCTCCAGCTTTGCCGTGTGCAAAATGCGCAGCGCTTTTAAGTTTGGGAACCACATAACAAGACAACAGAAAATATTTGAAAATGTTGTTTTATTGTTGGTTTTATAGATAAATACAGAATCATACTCTTGACATTTGTGAGAATTACATTCAGATCTAGTGCCAGTTTTTTATGAAGTTTTGTGCCCTCAAGAACGGTTTCTGAAATTGTCTAGGTCTAAATGCGAACGATCCGATCTTTTCGTACAGTCAATCTAAAATCATTTTTGAAATTTCCGAGGGTCATGTATTGTCTTGAGTTTATAAATCTTCAATAATAAGCTTTACTGATTGTGATTAATTATGTCATTTTTAAACTTTAAAAAATTGTGTGTGCAAGTGACTACAGTTCATTCAACGTCAGTAGCCATTTTGAAAGTCACTGAGAATTGATTACGTCATTCTGCACGTGCGCACATTCACTCAGGTATAAGTGCTGATTATGATCAGACGGTGTGGATGTGCAAGCTGATCATGGTCTGCACTGGTCCTGTCGTTTAAATCTGTTACCACCTCTACCTATCATCGTCATCATCATAATTACCACCACTACTACTTCCACTTTTAATACCAACCACCACCATTATCAACACTACTACCAATACCACTTCTTATACCTCCACCACCATTATCACCACCACTACTACCAATACCACTTCTTATACCTCCACCACCATTATCACAAACACAAACACTAATACCACTTCTTATACCTCCACCACCACCATTATCACCAACACTACTACTAATACCACTTCTTATACCTCCACCACCACCATTATCACCACTACTACTAATACCACTTCTTATACCTCCACCACCACCATTATCACCAACACTACTACTAATACCACTTCTTATACCTCCACCACCACCATTATCACCACTACTACTAATACCACTTCTTATACCTCCACCACCACCATTATCACCAACACTACTACTAATACCACTTCTTATACCTCCACCACCACCATTATCACCAACACTACTACTAATACCACTTCTTATACCTCCACCACCACCATTATCACCAACACTACTACCAATACCACTTCTTATACCTCCACCACCACCATTATCACCAACACTACTACCAATACCACTTCTTATACCTCCACCTCCACCATTATCACCAACACTACTACTAATACCACTTCTTATACCTCCACCACCACCATTATCACCAACACTACTACTAATACCAGTTCTTATACCTCCACCACCACCATTATCACCACTACCACTAATACCACTTCTTATACCTCCACCACCACCATTACTCACCAACACTACTACTAATACCAGTTCTTATACCTCCACCACCACCATTATCACCACTACTACTAATACCACTTCTTATACCTCCACCACCACCATTATCACCAACACTACTACTAATACCAGTTCTTATACCTCCACCACCACCATTATCACCACTACTACTAATACCACTTCTTATACCTCCACCACCACCATTATCACCAACACTACTACTAATACCACTTCTTATACCTCCACCATTATCACCAACACTACTACTAATACCACTTCTTATACCTCCACCACCACCATTATCACCAACACTACTACTTCTGCAATACAACCACCATCACCACTAACACCAACACTACCTAATACCTCTACCACCACCATTACCACATCCACTTTACTACCACTTCTACCACTTCTACCACTACTACTACTACTACTACAACAACTACAACTACCACTACTACTTCTACTACAGCTACCACTACCACTACTACTGGTGGTGAAAAATGTTTTGCGCAAAATAATCGAGCTTTACAGTATTCATAAGTAAACAATGTACTATGGGACCTTCGGGGTCACTATCTTGGCCTTTTCACATTGAAGTTTACTTCCTGACCTTACTTTTCCCAGAGATAAAAATGTCCTTTTTTGAATAAACCATAATTTATTTAGTTCATCAATTACTTACGTATATTAATGTAATATATTAATATGACTTTTAATCAACAAAACAAACATAGATTAACAAAGATATTTGATACTTTTAACTGTTTTTATTTCATTATCATAATTTAAAGGTTTTATGGACAGTTCCTTTGCGTTGTACATCTTTTTGTTTTTTGTTTTGTCTATGGTTCGGTCTTTTTGAAGACTGGCCTGTTTCTGTGATCACCACGTTTTGCCCTTAGGCCAGAGCCCGAGCCAAAGCCCCCACCAATGACTCCTGATTCGTCCGCTCTGTTCGATTCGGGTCTGTTAACTACATTGTATATTTCTGCCGAAGGGACTAGAGATCAGGTTCGAGAGTTCGAGCGATCGGTGTTCGAGCGATCCGAGGTAGAACAACATATATTATATAGGAATTTTGCCGGGACTGGGCGATGAGTTCGAGCGAAGGGAGGTATTCGAGCGATCCGAGTTCGAGCGAACGAAGTTTTAAACTGTATTACTAAGCACCATCACCCCGCCCCCCCCCACCCCCCCCTTGAAATTTTGTTGAATCTAATTCAATATTTGATATTTACAGAAGTATTTCTCAAAGCGAACTTGATATACATGTAGAAAGTTTGTTTGCTGTTTATTTCTTAAAACATGTACTTATAAGCAAATAAAGGAAAAACAAAGCGTCACACAAGAAAGAAAACATATAATAAAATATCAATAATTATTTATTTTATCGAAACCAAAATCAGGCTTTTATATCATATGTTAAGGCATTTGCATATCTCTAAATTTGAAATATAACTTAAAAAGCTTACTACTGCAAAATAATTGCCAAAATATCTATCAAAACAAACATGTGAAAGCACCACGCCTTATACATGTAGACACATGTATTTTTGCGTTATATTTCTATTGCAAAAACATTTATAGTGATTGAGTATTTTATGGAAGTTTAAATACTTGGCTGCTTTTTACGACATATAATTACACATTCAGTTCTATTTTCTTCATGTTTTGATCGTCAAACATGCTTTTAAACCATTATTTAAAAAATATAAACATAATTGTTTGCCTTTTTCTAATTAAAAAGAAATGTACTTATTTCTGAACCAAACCTATCAATAAGTAGGTTGAGTAAAGTTCATCTCCAATGTGTTATATGTAAATGAAAATTTTAAGACCTGTGTAAGATATGGCTAAATAGATTGAGCTAAATTCTGAACGTTAGAATACGTGCGTTTCTACAACAGGAAGAGTTTTGTCTTTGCACAGTTAAAGTTCATTTGGTCAAGAAACCGTAAAAGGCCGCTGCACTAGAAAGATACGTGCACGCAAGATATTTGTAAGTGTAAAGGGTGCAGACTGGGTTCAAATTTTTTGACAACTGATCAACGTCATGTTTTCAATGAAGCGAGGGTGAAAGATGAAAATTCGAAAACACAACAAGCTACAGATATAAAAATGTTGGGTTTTAGTTTTTCAACCTCTCGAACCATCATCGCGAAAACATGTTAGAATGATGGCGTTCCCGTAGTTTCGAATTTATATCATTTTGTCCCGCCATAGGGAAAACACTACAAATATTGGTGTCATTTTCGTGCGTCCGTGTTTAAACCCTCTTTTAAAAAAATGAATACTAATATACTTAGTGGGAGGGTTTATTTGGCCGATAAAATATGAAATGCTAAAGGTTATGATTAAAGTAGTACAAATTAGTGCACGAAAAAAACACACATATTTAGATAACCAGCCTTCCTGGTTCACACACGTCATACGGGCTCCAGTTATGAGAGACTGCTGGTGTGATGACAGATTTGTAAAATTTGCTGATTACAACAAGTAGATTAGACATTTAGTTAGTAAATTGATATAACGCAAATAAGGACAATTACATCACGGTGAACTCACTGTCCCATTGACTGGAGATACTATTCCTTTCTCCAGTAACAAGAATATTTTAAATTTTTATACGGGTTTAGAGTGACAGATTGACCATGAAAATAATGAAATGAATTAATAGAACTTGCTAAGTACATTATTTTTGCGACCAAGTGTCGATATGACTTTATAAATATTACCATTTAATTTCTAAAATACATGATTACCATTTAATTTCTTAAACTACATGTGTATATTGTAACTCGAACTGTTAATCTGTATCACTTGTGTTTAAGAACGTTTCTCTGTAACAAATTCTTTGTTAAATCGGAATGTATGCCATTCATTGCTTATGCTTAGAATGAATTCACATTAACTAAATCAATTAAATTATTTTCAATCATAAATTGTTGAATTATAGACTTAAGAAGATTCTCCATATTCAAATGACTATAATCATTATTACCTTTCCATGACATTGTAATAATTATATCATATGGTCTGTATTTATGATTCTGTACAAATATGTATATGTCATAAGTCAATAAAATATAAAATACACATATCGCATTGATAACTTGTCCGTCTTGAAAAAATATTACAAACAAAACCTTAAAGGCGTATGCTACAATGATATAGCCATATAGGTACATTTGTGTAGAATGAAAACTGTATATTAGTAATTCAATAGTATTTTAATTACGTAGTAGTTTAGAATATAAGAACAAACACATTTTAATCGAAAACCGGATAATACGTTGTAGATATGTTCGTGAAGTTGGTTGCCAACTTCAGGCTGCAAGGCTGCCAGGCTGCCAGGCTGCTAGGCTGTCAACTTCGGACTGCAAGGCTGCCAACTTCATGCCGCTAGGCAGCTAGGCTGCCAACTTCACGAAATGTTGTAGTACTTTTAAAGTTTTCTTGCTAAGGAAAACCATGATTGCCCCTGACAGGATTGAAACCACATAGCCACATCTTAGATAACTAGTCCGTCGCGCTTGATTAAAACGTAATTGTCTCTGTAAATATGACAACTTTAAACAACACTGCAACTTTGCCCGGCTGGATCCAAAATGAATTAACCAGTAAAGAGCTAACCTTACCTGAACACCCGTTTAGTCTGGTCAGGGTCTATACTGTTGAGTGATTACCTGTCTTGATATTTCAAGGTGGAAACAGTTCCAATAATGGGAGCCTGAAAAGCCTGTTTCATAAATTCAGTAGGTTAAAGGCACATTATGCCTCAGAATTACATCCGTTTTAATTTCTCAAAATCTTTTTATTTATTTATTTTATTTTATTTTATTTTGTATTCTTTTATAGTTTCAAACAAATTACTCATTGGCCAATTATCTGAACTGTCTCCTTCTATTGTTTTTTTTTTTGGGGGGGGGGGAATCACATGGGACTCAAAATATTACTTTGTTTACATTTTGCTACCTTCATTGCATATTATTTTACATTTGCCGCTATTTTCTTCAGGTAACATGGATCTAACATGCCCTAAGACAATTATTTAAAACTTCTAAAGGAGTTATTATTTAATCAGTTCTGTGGAATATTGTGTCTTTAAGGTGGCTAATATGTTCAGTCTTACCAGTGTAAACACTGTCGGCTACTCAAGTTTAATCTATCTTTTCTTGCAGTCCATTATATAACATTTTCTATTACAAGTGGGTTAGTCGTGTACAAAAAGACATGCGCATTGTAGCCCGGGGGTAAATATTTTGTATAAGTGTGAAACATATCTCCCAACTTTAATGCATATAAAAAAACGTTTTTGAAACTGCATGTTTTGCAGAAACGGAAGAATTCTATCATGTACATAAAATAAAAAAGCAGAAGAAAAACTGTAAACTCAAAATATTCAGACCAAATTATATATGATCTTTTTAAAATCGCATGGCGATCTGTAAAAAGACGCAAACTAAAAACACGTTTGGTTTGCATAACTAAAGTTGTATATATATCTATTTTCGACAAATGAACAGTGAAAATTAGCCCTCTTATAAACAAATGTGAGAAGGCATATTTTCAGTCTGCCTGTTTTATGGGCGGACAACTGTTTGTCCCGTTCTCGTATCAGAAGGGAATTCTGTGATGCGTGTATGTGGTCGCACGGTCAATTTTCTTCCATGTGGTCGCACGGTCGAAAATTTCAAAAATGAGTTTTAATAGGAGATTTAAATTCCTAATATGGAGTTTCTTACTTTTAACTAAGGAGTTAAAAAAGCTTAATTAGAAGATTAATTAGGAGAATGTTAAAATTGTGGTACTTCTAGTTACACAAAGTGTTGACAAAAAGTCTTAATTAGGCATTTTTACTTTTAATTAGGAATTAAAAATTCTACAAAGTTTATAATACCTCCTAATACGACTTTAAACTCGTTTTCAGTGTAATAAATGTCTAATTAGAATTTATCATTTCTTCTAATTTGGAGTAACAAGATCCGAAACAAGATTTTTCATTTCCCCTAATTAGGTTTAACAAAGGTTTTCATTTAGTTTCTCTTGATTTTGGAGTAACTAAATCATACTTAATGAAGTTATAAGTTCTAATGAGGTTTTACAAAATGGCATTCCATACTCTTGATAGGAACTTTGCTTCAGACGGACACATAGGTTTGGAAGAATTTATTTTTAAAAAACGCACGTATGGACTAACTTAATCCAAAATAAAAGTTGCTAAATCAAGTTCAATAGCGAGCTCTTCGCAAAGTGAACATTTCGGCTATACATTTTGAAAGCTTTTGTGGAGTTCGTCAAATTTATGGGTAATAAGTTTGGCTGCTCTTCATTTGAGGTTATTTTTTTGTTCCCTGTCCTTCGTTCATTAAGTCACAGATATTGTATGTTCTATCCTAGAAGATCGTTAAGCACAGCAGTATTCCTCACTTGAATGTCCCCGACGGTCTTTCGTGGGGTGGCCAAATATGTGTTGTTGTTTGTTTTGTTGGGTTTTTTTGGTGCTGTGGTTGTTGTTGTAATGCTGTTGTTGGTGGTGGTGATGTTGGTGGCGGTCGTGTTGGTTTTTGTTGTTGTTGATGTTGCAGTTTATATTTTTTGTTGTTGTTATTATCTTTGTTTTGTTGTTTTCCAATTTTGCGATTCGTTCATTCCTTCGTTCGTATCACTTCCCTTGATATATCAAGATACATTTTTGTACAATAATTTCCAATTATTAAAAAGTAATTCTTAATCGATAATAAACAGATACAGATGTGGAGTTAATATGTTTCCCTCCAAACAGCTGTTGTATCTTGCCAACACATTTAAATCAGATAGTTTGTATCAATAATGTACAATTTATCATGAAAGTTAATGCAATTAAAAATATCATGAGCAAATAATAATAATTAGTTATATAGCGTGTCCGACCGTGTGTGAATAATTGCAATAAAGATACATTACAATGGCTAGACTGGGTAAATACAACAGGAACTTGTTTCAGATATTAACATTGTTACCACTTATAGGAATATTGTATGTTTTCGTTATGATAGTTCATTACCAAAGTGTAGAGGACCGGATTCAGCATGCCTTCAAAAGATTAAAAAATCTTAAAAATGAAAATGCGAAATTCCAGGAATTCATATTAAGGTAAGACTTTTTTATCAATTTTATTAAATTATATTTTTTAAAGAGATAATTTATAAATATTAGGGAAATATTATATACTAGGACGCCATAGTGGGTTTTTCTATACAGATAATGTAACAGCTAGAACAGCAACAACTGGTAACCCCTCCGACATCACATCAAACGGGCCCCTCCTCCACCCGACAAAAAGAAGATAAAGTACCCCTACCCACCCACCTCGACCCCAAAAATATAGAAAATAGATAGATAAATAAATAAATGAATAAAATTTGGTGTGATTGATTGGATATTGGTTTGTAAAGCATACTTTAACATTCAGCAAAAAGGCAGTAAAAGGGCAGTTAAAAGCCATAGGATACGAGATTATCCGGTCAAGCTGAATTGTTGGCTGCTACCGTAAAACTTCGGACATCTCCGTGTTAACCGTAAATTACATTTTTACTATTATTTTGTTCGGTTTATTTATTTAATTTTAAGCAGTGTTGATTTAGGTTAAAGGTTTTTTGAAGTTGCAAGATGGAAATTTATGATGAAAGGTTTATGGCACGCCTCAGGAAAAAAAGGCATGCCGCCGCTATAAATTTTGGGTGAATTTGTTGTCCTGATTTTTCTTTTGAAATGTGCTTCATAGAATCAGGAAGGTTTTGTTAACTGTAAATTGACATAAGACGAATACGTGAAACCAGATAAAGTCTAATTACTGCAATGAATTGAGAATGGAAAAAGTTGTTTCTGAATGAAAATTTTTGCCCCGAAAGAACTTAAATTTGAGCCGCGTTCCCGCAAACCATAAGTGGGTTTCGACCGATGGTCTAGAACCAGCCTGCGCCTCAAAACGCAGTTGATTCAGGTCATCCTTAAATGTTCGCTTTAAAAACCCTAAAAAAACAAGGGAAAAAAACTGATTGCGAAAAGTTTTTCCCGAAACAGGAAATGGGGCGGGGGCAGGCTGGGTTTTGGGTCCCTGTTGGGCCAAAAAAACTATGTTGGTTTTGTTAAGGAAAGCGGGTCCCAATTTTCAACCTGTCCCGGGTTAATTAATACAAATGTCTTCCCAAAAGTTTCAAAAACCGCATTGAAACTACGTCCTCAGCATCGTAAGAAGGGGTAAATTTTTTAGAGAAAAAAAGACAGTTATTAAATTAAAAATCAAAAAATTGGATAAAAACCCCGAAAAATTTTTACTTTGGGCAAAGAAAAATAAATTTTTTTGTAAAAAAAAAACTTCATGTTTCCCCTTTTTTTGTTGTTTATGTTCCCGGGGGGTGTACTGCCCCTTTATTTTAGATTTTTTTGCAAGAAGTCGATTAAAAAGGGCCCTTTTTCTATTTTAAAGGAAAGTTTTGTTAAATCCCTTTAAAAAAATTTAAACAAATTTCATATAAAAATACTTTTTTGTGTACCCTGCACTGCTGGGAATTTTTCCCGAAATTATTTTTTGGCATTTTTAAGTGGAAAAGGGGGAAAACCCTTTTCATCGCAAGGGTACTTTTTTTACAAAGGTGGTTGACCCTTAATAAGGGGTATGTATAAGTTTATTACAGTCACATTTTCCTTTTGGGGGTTTTAGAAAAAAATTCCCTTTTTTTTCCTTTCAATTATAAAAACATAAAAAAACTTTGTGCGGGGATTCTTTAAAAAGAAAAGATTTTGTTTTTGAAAAAAATTTAAATTTTTGATAGCTAAAACCCTTTATTCACAAAACATGTCTTAAAAAACAAGGCCTTTTTAAACCAAAAGGGTTTTAGTTTATTTTGGCCCCCCCGAAAATCCCCCCTTCTTTCCTTTATTGTATAGCCCTTTACCCTAGCTTCAAAAAGTTTGGGGCAACCCAAAAAAGGTGATCTAAAATAAAGATTTTTCTGCACCAAAAAAAAAAAAATTACAGTTTCAAAAAATTTGTACAGGAAAAATTTTTTTTTCCCTTTTTTTGGGGGGAAAATTTTTTTACATTAAAAACCAAAACCCGTGCTTTTCGTGGTTTAACCCCCGCAGGTATTTTTTAAATTGGGGGTACCCAATTATCATTTTTAAGGAATTTTCCGGTTTTATTTAAGTTCGCAATGTCGCCTTATTCCTAAACGGTATTAAAATTTCCCCCACAGTACCTCCCCGACCCTTACTTGGTTTCCTTTTTGGACCTTGCTAGACCCGGGGCAGGGGGACGTTCCCCCATGACGCGCAAGGGGGCAGCGACCCAGCGAGGAAAAAAAGGGCCAAGGTCCCCAGGGGGTCGGCGAAATATTTTTAACATTGCACAAAACCAGTCGCAGAAAACTCTGGTTCTTCGCTGAGTCCTGATGGGTTAGGTGCAAAAACGTGTAAGGTTCGTCGTACAGTCGCGGACAGTCGCCGGACAACGCAATAGTCGTCGTAGAAAGTCGCCGTAAGGACGCAGGAACATAGCACAGTCGCAGCTGGGTCGCCGATGATCGCAGTGGGGTCGCCTGGGGACGCATACAGTCGCAGTGGAAACGCCATGGGTAGGAGGGTCGTATTTGAGGACATGAGAAAGAGTAACGTGAACCAAAGACTTGCAAGAGCCCCGGACGTCTGCGAGAGAAATTTCTGCGAGAGAAATTTGGAAATTTGAAAGAAAACCAACGATTTTCGAAAGAAAAATGCTATTTTACTAGTTTTCAGGTCGCAGTAAGGTCGTGGTTTATGTGTGAGGGCAGCATTACGTGTATCATTTATTTTAAAAAAAAAACATTTTTACGTTGTCTTAATTAATCATATATGAACATTTGTATATTCCATACCTTCAACGTAATTCAATTTCTTTGATTGCAGTGTCTGATCACATGCGAGCAGACGCTTTAAATAGCCCAACAATTGAGCACGAGGATGCCAGACGAGATATAAGCTTCGTATTAGGTGACCTGTGGATGTATCTGCAGTCAGAGTTGAATTTTTTTAAAACAAAATCAAAGAAAGAAAAATTGCAAATGCAGCCCACTTTTTCACATTTAAAAGTTCGGTTAAAAAGTAAATTATTTTTTTTTTCCCTTTTTAATAAAATTAAAAACGGACTTTACGTCATTAAACTGCGCAAATAAAAAATATACATGTATATTTTTGTCTATTTATACAAATATAAATCATCGTGGAAATGAGAGTCCCTGGAAAAAGTGAACAAATCACCGATAACTTCACTTTAAATAACTATAACTGATGACTGCTGTATCGCAAATACAGTTTGCAGCTTATTTAAACCGTTCTAACGTCCATTTCCTGGAACTAACCAGAACTGATGTCATTTTGAGTCCGTTTCCTGAAACTAACAAGAACTGGTGTTAATTAAGCTCCTTTTTAAGGAGATAATCAGTACTGACGTCAGTTAAGGTCCGTTTCCTATAAGTGACCAGTATACTCGCTTGTGTTCTGTCTACAATGGTCTACTAGATGAAAGCCACGATTGTCTTCGGTATTAATATTTTCTTTTTGATACTTTTAGAAAGTTGAAGAATGACTTATTGAAATTTGGAAACACAGCTGACAATGTTGAAGCTTGGCGTACGTTTCAATCACGGATGCTCGGAATACTTGTGCAGAAACGATTATTATTTCTGCAGGTAATGTAGCCATTTTTTATCTTTTACCGGTAAATGTAGAACATTACATGAGTTGTCATTTGATATATTCAATTTCATTTCACACCTCAAAAAATGTAACCAATGAACTTCCAACATTTGCTCCATATTATTTTAAAAACGTAACTCATCCCAAATCTTATCAATTTGTTTTTATCCCCCTAGTCGAAAATAACGTACCAAAATGCATACTGTTCTCCCTCTCGAAGCCTTGTTCCATTTTCCGATTCTAAAATTCCATATTAAATCTATATTAAACACTTTCCCTTGATTTCATTTTCAGAGTCCAAAAGTATCAAATCCATATTGTACTCGAAGTAACATATTTCTGATATGACACCAAAACGAATGATTTTTTCAATGTAAGACAAAGAGGTCTTACACATGGTTTAGTTTAATAGGTAAAAACCCGATTCTGATATATGTTTTGTAGCTGTGTAATCGTCCCAATAGAATCAGTATTGTACACAAACCATGTATAATTTTTCAAAATAAAACAACAAATAATTATTAATTCATTATTCATTCATTCGTTGTTTCGTTCGTTCGTTTCGTTTCTTTTCGTTTTTTCTTTTCGTTCTTTTGTTAGTTATTTAGTTGATTCATTCATACATTCATTTATTCCATTCATTCATTCGTTTCGTTCGTTCGTCGTTCGTTCGTTTCGTTCGTTCGTTCATTCATTCATTGATTCATTTGTTCGTTCTTCCTTCCTTCGTTCCTTCGTTTCGTTCCGTTCGTTCGTTCGTTGGTTCAATTCATTTTTATTTTCAGTGTATCACCCATTCCGTCAAATCCTTGATGTTTCTGTATAGACATTAAATTATCCTTGAAACATTTCGTATAGCTATGTTTATGAAATTATCATTTACTATTTATAGATCTATATGCTTTTATATTTTGAAAAGAAATTTAATTGAATAACTCTTAAACATTAAACACAAGCATCCGAAAGACTGCTCCAAAGCACGGAAACTTGTCTGTAAGATGGGATAAGATATGTGGGTTTGGATGCCAATTGAATCATTTGACATACTGCCTAATTATGGCTTATGGTACCCAGGCGAACACTTATCTTAGATTCCAACGGAACTGGCACTAGCGCCAGAAGAAGGCTGGGAGTCACGTGTTTTTGCCGCTCAGTAATAACTGCACCACAACAAATCAGCGCCATTACCCTGGCATGGTATGACAGTATTATTTTTTCTTTACATTTATTGTACTTTTTTCTTTATGGGGAAAAAACATGCGAAGAAGTGTTTATATTCTATATGAGTCAGTATGCAAAGTCTTCAAAATTTTATTGTTAGGCGTAGATAACAAAGAAATATTCGTGAATTACCTACAATTTTCCATTCCCTTTGAAATATATAATATTAGATCTGTACATATTTTTTTTCACAGTAAAAAATTATGAAGAAAGATTATTTAAATCAGTTTATCTTTGTTTTACCATGTTTGCTAGGTCATTATCCGGACATAGAAGTGTTATAAGCTACCATTTTAGACCACTCTCCCCGCGTCCTGATTTCCTCCATTCGCACTTCCGGAAGACCTTTGCCGGCAGTATTGACGTTTCCATGGAAACCGGCCGCATGGTGGATAGGCCAGTTTGTACAATACCCTGATGAGACCTAACCAGAAACTTAACAAGTACCTAGAAGAGCGGAAACGAGCTTTGGGGTTCTCAAAGCCAATTGTCGGGTAAAAATCACAGACGCTTGGGGTCAGATCCTGCCCCCCAACGTGATACGCCCCTGTAAACACTCTACCAAAACTATTTTAATATTTAAACACGAATTGTACATCTGTTACAACGATAAAAATGGTTTTCAAACAATTTTTACGTATATGAAAAAAATACCGTATACCATAAGTCTCAATAAAGTAAAGATTGCAGACTCCCAAAATGTAACACGATCACCCTTGTATAATAAAACCTTTATAAATCGCATTATTAAATGACCTTAACCCGTGACTTTTCCGGTGTAAATCAAATAGATAAATGAATATCTCCTAGATGCAATCAGAATAAAACGATTTTCATACATCTCATTGGTAATATGAAAATCCACATTTAATTAAAACCGAAAGTAAATTTTGCGTTCGTCCAACCAATACGAGACCTGAGCCCGGCTCTGCGTGGAGCCGCTTGTCAAGCCGGTATCCAAACGGTGTACATACTTTCGACTTAGATATCTACTCGAGCATTATATCCTCATGTCCCGCGTATTTTGCGCTCGTTTAAAAGACATTTATTTGTAATAAAACTATTACCAAGATGCACAGTGTGTTGTTTCCCAAGTTTTATTTTAATTCTATATAATGCACAATTTAAATATTTAATTTGGACATGAGGATATAATGCTCGAGTAGATATCTAGTCGAAAGTCAATCGCAACTACTCGGCCCTTTCCGTCAGTCTTCGGATAAGGGCCTCGAACACAATAGTATGAATACACAGAACGGATGCGGTATTCCGGTCTAACCTAAGCTAAGAAACTAAACATGTAAACAAATAGTAATTTAATGCTGGGAGTTGTTGACACGTTTATTTCCAATATAATGTTAGTAAAAAGTCCACCCTGAAATAATGAATTCATAGGTACAAAAGCAAACAATACATTATTTATATATTTATAATATGGCTGTGAAACCCGGAAGTACAGAAAATTACCAACCTGTTGACATTTGTTCGGATTTATTTAAAATTGAACATCAGAGGGCATATTTAAATAACAAATTGTTGTCGGACATATTTTCAAGCATAAGAGTACCGGAACAGACATTAGATGTCAAATATATACATTCGTTTTACATTATCTCTGTTTCTGTTTACATCAGTAAACCACGTGGTAGAACTACTTTCAATCCGTATTGTTTCCGAGGTCAATATTGTAGATAATGGCCGAGGCAGTTCCGAATGGTCGAAAGTATGTACACCGTTTGGATACCGGCTTGACAAGCGCTCCACGCAGAGCCGGGCTCAGGTCTCGTATTGGTTGGACAGAACGCAAAATTTACTTTCGGTTTTAATTAAATGTGGATTTTCATATTACAATGAGATGTATAAATGTTTATTCTGATTGCATCTAGGAGATAATTCTATTTTCTATTGATTTACACCGGAAAAGTCACGGTAAGGTTCATTTAATAATGATTTATAAAGGTTTTATTATACAAGGGTATCGTGTTTACATTTTGGAGTCTGCAATCTTTACTTTATTGAGACTTGATGGTATACGGTACTTTTTTTCAATATACGTAAAAATTGTTTGAAACCATTTTTATCGTTGTAAACAGATGTACAATCGGTTTAAATATTAAAAATAGTTTTGGTAGAGTGTTTACAGGGGCGTATCACGTGGGGCAGGATCTGAACCCCCAAGCGTCTGTGGTAAAAATTACTTATATGTATGGTGAAATTATGGCGCCTTTGCTTCCATTGTATACACACCGGTTCTCTCAAGAAAGCGGTGTACTTCTAAACCTTAAATGACGAGGGAGGTAACTGCTGTGGTCAGAAGGGAGAATAGTCCTGACAAGAGTTACCTAAAATCCGTACCGGTTACAGTAAGATCCTTACTGGTTACATAAAATCCGTACCGGTAACATAAAATCTATGCCACCCATTAATTGTATTTATGGGATTACTTCATCAGTTAACGAATTCTAAATTATTAATATTTCATTTTGTTCATGGCAAACAATGAACATATTCCACACAATACAGGTAACGTTAACCAAAGAACTTTATAAACATTACTATTCTTTCATTGCAATGGATTTGACCAGATCTGTTCATAAAGTATTAAGAAACTCGAAATAAAACGTTGGTAAGTTTTTAAAATTCTGATAAGGAAAACGTTTTGTTTATACCGGGGATATCTCTAAAAATCTATGATTGTGGTTCCGAAATCACGAAAGTAAGCCACTTGTACAGTTAAGCCACCGCATCGGTTCCTGGGTAGGCTTTCGGCAGGTTACTAGTGCTTGTTATCTTTATTTTGCAAGGAAACTGATAACTTCTGTACATGCCAGTGCAAGGGTATTGTGCAAATGACTGTCAAAAAAAAAACATGATCAATCACTTACGAAAGTGACTTTCACCGTCCGGAAATTCGAACGTCAACGCTCTACCTATTGAGCCAAGCGGACGGTTAAAAAGTCCAAATGTAAAGAAATTTCACAAATGTTCATATGGAATAAGCGTCTGTCTCACAAGGAGCAATAAAAACAATTTCCTTTGAAAGCTTTATTTATGGACTCGGCCCAGTGAATTTTCGTATTCTTTGTTCTATAGTAAATCAGTCACATTTGAGGCTTAATTCTGGATTCCACTGTTCTTGATGAATTATATACTGTCTTCAACTTTAAACAATATCACTATCTGAGTCGAATGAGGCCCAAAATATAATAGGTTTGCCATCTATTTTTTTCAGAAATCTTCATTCTTTTGTAACACTGTTTAAATTCACCACTGTAAAAACTCTTCACTGCTGGTGGGTAGTACATCTTTAATCCTTCCGCTAACAAATGAGTTCCTGGAGAATGCACAAAAAACAACTTTTAAAGTCATCATTTAGCACACTAAAACTACACATATGCATAAATACCCTTTAATTTATGATCAATCTAACTAGAGATGACTAAAATTGGGCCACTTCAAATTTTAAAAGAATTTCTTTCTAGAGGTCTAATTCCGTACGGGTTGAGACCTTTATGTATATACGGAAAGTGTTGAAGATGCCGACTCTGTACACAGTACTCACGATATTTATGATTTCTTGAAGAGTTCAAATAAGGTAGAAACAGACAAGATATCGAGACACGAGGCGGAGTTCCATGACCTTGACGAGTACATGAAACACGTTGCAAGAGTGGTATGACGTTTACGAGAGAAGTCAGCCGAATGTACAACGTAAAATATTCCTTGCTACGGACGATCCTACGATACTATCCGAAGCTATCCGAAAGTGAGTTACTTTTCTTAATTGTAAAAGGGTGAGTCTGTCTTGACTGTAAAATAGACTCTCTCTTAATTAAATGTTTATGTATAAACTAATGAAAATAACAAGATAGTAATTTTTCCGCGTTACTAGTACATGTATTTAGAGGTTTTGTTTGATTTGTTTTTCCCTAAAATATAACAATATAAAAAGAACTTTATCAGGAAGTTTTGAGTTGAAATCATTTGCTTTGCCTGCAACTGTACATGCTAGTAATAACACATTGGGAAGTTCCATTCAATCCTATTATGAAATGCTACTTCTAACTTCCCTGTTAGTGCTTCATATATTAACATTAAATTTTGTAAGCATAAAATAAAATTAGAATTTTAAACACCCTTGCAAATCGCCGACATTTATTTTCACCCTTTCAAATATTAGATTTTGTTATTTCACATTTACAACTTTTATCGACGGTTGAAATTCGCGCTAAATGTTGAAAAAAGACACAGCATTCCAAATAGAAAGACCCTGGTATGGGGTTTCACATTTTTTCGACAACCAAATATCCCTTGAAATATTTTGCTTTTACAGTTCTTTTTGTAATTTTAGATATCCAAAATACAGTTTATAAGTGACAATGATATATCCCTGTCTGCCTCGAGTAAATAACAGATATACTAACACGTCATTGCGTGGGATATTGCTTGATATACACTTGCTATCAGTGTGCAACTATTTGGTCTGTACCTTCTCCTCACAGGTATGTCAAAAGACATTTTTACATTACTATTACGATTGTCCTATACTTTTGCCGGATGTTTTGATTCACTTTCTTGCACATGCGCATTATGAAAAAAAAATTAACCATTATTAATGTGCAGAGTTAGAGCTATATCTAAATTTATTTATTTCTGTACAAAAGCACAGGAACCTGAAATTTAATCAATACATCACAAAATATACATATATTAAATGATATACCCTTATCTCTAATATAAAGTTTTTTATATAGAGATAAGGATTATATCACATAATATACGTATATTTTGTGATGTATTGATTAAATTTCAAGTTCCTGTGACTAAAAAGACATCAGTTTACGCTATAATATTATAGAGTAAAAATTGTCTTATTGATTGGCTTTGATGCCATTCAACAAGTATTTGGGTTGAACATAGAACTGAACTTTTTGTCTAATATGTTGTGTTTTGTGCATATCTGAATATTAACAACGTGTAAGCGCTTAATTATGTTGAGAAAATTTTGTAAGACATCATAAATGTTGTTACTGCTTTCACAAGAAAGTGATTTTTATTATACAAAAAGATGTGTTAATTAGGTTTTCTCCTGGACTGAATTTCAAAATAAATCAAATATTCCTATCAGCGCTAATTCAGGCCTGATAGAAAATAAAATTTAATCCTATTTTAGGTATGCAGATCCGCCTACGAAAGAATGCAGCCTCGTTATGGTGACGCTTCCGGTTGGTTTCGCTCTCTTGACGATTCGTACCATTTCTTCGGGCAAAATCCACATCATTGGAAAGCTGTTATAGAACATACGAGAAGAAATTATAATGAAATATCATTTGAAATTGGAGATATGATAAATATCGCAGGTAATCACTGGAATGGTTATTCAAAGGGAATCAATGTTAGAACTAATAAAGAAGGACTTTTTCCAACATATAAAGTCAAAAGTGTTGTTGAGCGTGCAACCATGCCGACTTACCCGGAAGTTTAATTATGGTGAATCAGAATGTAGAATTAGAACATACTATAGTGGTGTTTTAAAAGACTATGATATTGTGAAAATATGTGACATTTGATAATGGGGTAATACCGAACTGTGTGAGATGAGTACAGTACGTAGTGTTTCGTAAAACAAGTAAAATGAGGAGATGCAAAACTATCCGAACAACTTGCCTTCATTTGAACTGTAGCAACTTAAATAATGATCTTTTTATTAGCCAATTAGTTTCAAGTCCATTATGTCAATGCGACGCAGACATCGAAAATGTGGAGCACTATTTTTGCCGATGTAAATTATACACTATGCAAAGACGTATACTTTTTTTGAATACTAGGTCATTCTATCCTCTCAGTAGTAAGAAATGATTATACGCTATTGATGGACATGCAGAAGCCGAAAATATAAGACTATTTCAGGAAGTGCACAATTTTATCAAAAGTAGTAGAAGATTTACTTAAGTATGCTTGTACATGTACTATAGTATTTATTTTCATATTTAAATTAATATTTTGTAACGTAATTTTCTTTTCTTTTTCAGGTTAAGCGATTTCTTTTTTACCATGTAGCAATATATAAAACTTATATCGCTTACTTAATATACATCTCAGAATTTCTAAAATCCTCACTTACTAACTATGTAACCATTAAGCCAACAAGATATACTTTTAGGGGAGGACCCTAGATAATGTTGGTATAATAACTTTTGGTCCAACCCTTTTGTATGTTCATTGTATTTATACTTAAGATAATGATGTTAGATTGTGTAAATTTATCATGTCCAAAAATATACAATGAAATATTATTAAACTAAAATTTAAAGAATCCTATCGATTTTATACATATTATTCCCTTGATATTAAGCCACACGTAGCTTGCCTCCCTTTGGCTATTTATCGGACGTAATTCGTGATATTGGCAACAGTGTTCTACGATGTAATGAAAATGCCAATCGTGTTTTCCTATCTAAATTTGATAATATTTTTAATAACAAAAGGTGATCAATGTACATGCGTTTTTTCAATGTTTATAAATACCTTTTATGACACCGCTTATCATCATTTTATATGCTAAAAATAAATATTTTACATTGCTATTTTTTGTAATGGATCTTGATCTTAGCTGAAGCTGGCCTGTTAAGCTAATACATATTAATGCTTTAGGATAAGAAGCGAAACAGTTTAGAAAATGATTTTGAAAACTTCGTATACAACTAATTTTCAGTTATTTATTTTTTTATTATACTTTTACTACTATGTTCACTTACGTTCATCGTATGTTAACAAACACTTGAATCTCATATGTTAACAAACAAGGGTATCTCTTGTGTCAACAAACACGTGTACCTCTTATGTTAACAAACACGTGCACCTCTTATGTTAACATGTGTACAAACACGTGTACATCTTATGTTTACAAACATGTGTACATCTTGTGTTAACAAACACGTGCACCTCTTATGTTAACATGTGTACAAACACGTGTACATTTTATGTTAACAAACACGTGCACCTCTTATGTTAACATGTGTACAAACACGTGTACATCTTATGTTTACAAACATGTGTACATCTTGTGTTACCAAACACGTGCACCTCTTATGTTAACATGTGTACAAACACGTGTACATCTTATGTTTACAAACACGTGCACCTCTTATGTTAACAAACACGTGCACCTCTTATGTTAACAAACACGTGCACCTCTTATGTTAACAAACACGTGCACCTCTTATGTTAACATGTGTACAAACACGTGTACATCTTATGTTTACAAACACGTACACCTCTTATGTTAAAAAACACATGCATCTTTTGTGTTAACAACCGTTTGCACCTCTTATCTTAACAAACACGTGCATCTATTATGTTAACAATAACGTGCATCTATTCTGTTAACAAATACGTGCACATCTTCTGTTTACAAACATGTGTGCATCTTCAGTTAAAAAAACACATGTATTCTTTTTGTTAACAAACACGTGTAGTCTTTTGGTAACATACAATCATTTGTTAACACACACACACGTTCACCTCTTATGTTAACAAAAGCATGCACCTCGTAAGGTTAACAAACACGTGCACCTCTTATGTTAACATACACGTGTCCCTCATACATTAACATACACGTGTATCTCATACATTAACATACACGTGTACCTCATACGTTAACATACACGTGTCACTCATACGTTAACATACACGTGTCCCTCATACGTAAACTAACATACACACATGTACATAAATATTATTATGACATGAATCACGGATTTGACGGTTTAAAGAGAGTCTTAAAAAGAGTATAAAAATATCAAAATGATAACAAAACTGAATGTAACTGTCATTTTAAATTTTCATACTTCCTTTGAAGGGTCTGCAATAACCATATTAATGTTAACTTCTTAAAAAAGATACAATCTACGGTGAAAAAGGTCGCATAATACAGTATAATTCATCAAAGGGGTCTACATAGTTACATGGGTCATAAAAACTTTCAAAATTTATCTCTATTATATGAAGAATTACGAACATATAAAGCGAAACCTGATACAAAAATAAACGTCAAAATAAAATAATAAAAAAATATTACCATATGGGTACGGTTTTTGGATCATCATGCATATTTCATGAGTGATAAAAAAGGGAATGTTTTTATATTTATATATAAATATATTAATGGTGAATATGTAAATATTTAACTGCTATTTAAAACATCTTCCATGCGAAATATGACAATTCATGTACATGTACTATTTACATAAATTTCGACAACTGTTGTATGGTCAAAACTTACTTAAAGAGTAGGCGTGCCAAAAATGAAAAGCATTCTTAGTTATTTTCTTATAATTTTCTTTCTTTGTGCTTTCGTTCGAGCTCCCTGCGACCTACTCAAATGTCCGATCGTCTGGGCGAAGCACTCGCTTGTAGATAATTTTGAACCTTTTCTTAACAGTAATGTGTATGTGCCTGCACAAATATGCGCATGCATTTGCCCATTCGTGCATGTATTTTGCGTGCATTTTCTGAAAACAAGAATTGGTTCTGAGACACGAAAGCTCTCAACGAAGAGACGGTTTTAATGGATTAGCTGACTGCGGTCCCTTTGAATTATATTAATATTTTATTGTGCTTACATTTTGTTCTTTCTTTCTTTTTTTTTTTTTTTTCTTTTTTTTCTTTTTTTTTTTTTGTTGGTCACTATAACATTTGTACTTTGTTGCCGGAGTGCTGACGTCATCGCGAATATTGCACCGTTTAAAGGCCAGTGACAATTGATTAAGGGGAGCTTATTTATGTAATGTATTCTATAATTTTACTAAACGACCATATAATTCAAACGTCTTTTAAATATTTTACACTCAGTTTTTGTGTTATTCATGTCATGCATAAAAAATAAAGTCTTGTGTGTAGGTTCAAAAGGAAATGTTCGTAAATTACCCTCTATGCGTTTTGACAGTGCTGCGATGGCAGTTCTTACATTTTCTAGTCTATTCGCCCGCCATATTTTAAGTCTATGCAGGGTCCAGAAAATGCAACTATACGTTTCTTTATTATCGTCGGGGGATAGTAAAGACAATTATAAACTTCAGGGTATACTTTTTTTGTTATCGTCGGGGAGAGGGGGATACCGCAGTGACTGGATCTTGAGACATCGGAGCGCTGCCACTGTTGTCACCACCAAAATAGTTACATTTTATACTTACATGTTTGGAAATCGATCCCAGTTGTACAGAAGTTTCAATATTTCATCAAATTAAGAATGTGACATTCAAAGAATAAGATAACTCAGTATCAGACATTATCATTTGTCTAATAAAACGTTAAAATCGTACATTTTGATTGTATATCTATACAGTAGACCGTTTTTGAACAACTCTGTAGTAATCTGTAGTAATCAACTAGCGGCTGTAACAGAAACTAGTATATATTTCTTGCTTTACAAGTTCATCTTGCTATGCAAGTTCATAGATCTAAATCAAACATAACCACGGGGTTGTTTTATGTCCTAGGAAAAAAAAATAAATTTCGCATACATTCGTCATATGTTAATATAGAAAAGAATAACTTCTCGAAATTATCATTGAATCATAATATAATGTTGTTTCTGTTCAATTACATTATTTCTTTTGAACAGGTTATTGTTATTTAATATTATTCTTTTATATATAGGTTTATTTATTTCAAGTCCTGAGACGAAAAGTTATGCCTTTATATTTAACAGAGTATAGGCATTTTACATAATCGTTTTCGATTTTTGTCGCGCATGCGTATTCATTGAAGGGCAAACCATGCATAACTCTGTTCTTGTGTGTTTTTTAACCATTAATTAAAGGGATTCGGTATACATATTGAAGGCAATATCTAAGTCTTCAACGCGATTATCATGCAGAATGAGTTTGTCCGTCTGTCGGCGTTCCCTGAACTAAAATAAATCAGTTTCATATGTTCTTTGCGAGCCATTGCTTACAACAATGTCAATGGGCGGCTGCGGGTGTTAGCAGAATGATTCCCATCTCCATCATACAAGATATCATTCTATCAATATGTGTAAAACAATAAGTTTAGAGAATGAAAACTTTTTAAGTGATTAAGTCAAAAACAATTTGTATAAAACAATTAAATTGTTTTACTAAAAAAATATAATAAATTAGAAGAAATTTATTATCGTTTTAACGTACAACGTGTTTTTACTCGCTTCACATTTCGTTCGTTTACATGTAGAAGATAAATAAAACCATAAAATTATGCAAAAAATACCCATCCGTTATCACTAGCGAGTATTTTAACAAATAAATCATGCCGAGGGTGTAAGATCATCTAATATACAACGTTATTTAAACAAGTGATTTAATCTATAACTTGTAAGGTATAAGGTGGTTTAAACGTTTTAATATACCGGTACATAAAAATGCAAGATTTAGCATGCCCGTGACAACGACGAACGTGATTGGCTAATACCTGTCGAGAGGCAGGAACGCGCCGGATCGTGTATTACAATTTATCTTTACTTATATATCGAATGTGTCATAATTTAAACGCGTGTCAACTGGCTGATAAGTATACGGTTTACAACACCGCCTTAACTATAGGTTTACTTAATTTAACATCCTCGCGTAAATGTTTGAAGAGAAAATATTTACGTTAAAAATCCGAGGTAGACGTGTCTATGTAATTGAGACGTATCGCTAAATCGGTCTTAAGATATTTTTTTTTAAAAACGAACTCTCATTAATTTCAACTCAACATTTTTGTATCCGATTTTTGACTACGGAAAAGGAACGTGAAATTTGATATAAAGATTTATCGATTAAGGTTTTTAATATATATTTTTATCGACGACGGAGTTTTATATTATGAGTGTGCAATTAGTTTTTTTTTAAAATAAGGAACAGGATTAAGTTCTGACATTTAAAATGTCGCCACCAATTGCGGACTCTACGAAAAATGTGGAATCTAAGTGCTCTCAGAGAAAGGTATGTACGAGCAATTGTAACACATTGAATATTAATTAGAAAAGAAAAAGCTACAAAACTTACAATAAACGTATCGCAAAATTTAAATTAATTGATATATTTTGTATTGACTAAGCATTATAAAAAATGAAAAACTTTTATATATTTTTAGGTAAAGTTTATTTCTGGGAATAAGATTATTTATATCTTCATTATTTATACAGAAATACAAGTGTCCGTTATATTTACCATTTAATGAATATGTTGTTATATCAATAAATTTCCCTATATCTTTTGTCTAGTGAGAGATATTTGTTATATCTAATTTTTGTAATCGTGTATTTCATTTCACATAGCACAACGAAATCCTAATTGGATGCTTTTAATAGCATGAATGCAGCTATGTCAAACAGACATGCACATATTTCTTAAAGATTCTGAACAAAATAAGAATGAATAATCTTCTTTAAATTTTGTTAACGTATCTTCTATATTCATCAAAGAGGTGAAATATTGGGGATATATATAAAGTTAGAAAAAGGTGGAGAACTTGCACAGACAAAGTCAAAGGTCAAAGTGTTATCAGAATTACCATAGATATATTTATGTTCATCTTAGTGGCACAACTATAGATATATAAAATGACTATATAGTGTCCCCTCATCCATCAATGACTTCATAGACTATTCAGGTTCGTCCTCACGTCATAAAGAACATGACACATTAACTTCCGGTTGCGTCATTAGCATTCTCCCAATTTTTACACGCCTTTTCGTGCTGCTGGCGAGCACAACTCCAAAGAATAAAGAAATTTGGCAAGAACGTTGAATAGCTTACATTATTCATAAATAAACCCGTGCTAGTCAAGCCTAGAACGCGCGTGCTTCCTGTGCCAGTCTAGTCCGAAACGCGCACATAATATTCCATTTCCTGTATAAATATCTATCACAAAGAGTTATGGGCACGGAGAGGCGTATCACTAAACACCGAACAGATTAATTATTTCATAACTCCTTAGGTTAAATAATAAGACATTTCTACATTAATAATATAGAGATGTGACGTATTCACGCGTCGTCGCACGCACTGTCACGTGTTATATCTTATATCTATTACTTACATATCAGTTACACAAATTTGCCAATTTTTCAATGTCAAATAATTATGTTTAATTCATCAGGGCATATCTAAACAATAAAAAATGAATAAATTTCTCTTTTCCAGGTCTTGATAAATTAGAATGGACCGTTCTTTAGATTTATCAGTGTATAAATTCAAGATCGTTATAATTTGAATGTCATTTGTCAATTCACGCCAATGCATTGGCAGTTGTTTTTACTCTTTTCTTTTTCTTTTCTTTTTTCTTCTTCTCTTAATGTACTTTTACTAATGATTTTATAGTCATACATTATTTGATGTTTAATTAATTACCCCTCGAGTTAACAGATCTGAACATACAATTCCATAATAAATCACTGAAAAGTCGTTCAAAGTTCGCCAAATTAAAGAAAGGGATTTTCTTCTCTTTTTTAAAACTAGCTTATGCATATAGCTGTTTTGGTTTATTTTTAATAAGCAATTATAAATGTGTAAGATTTCGTTATATTATTCGTTCAGAATCAAATCTGAAAATTCAATTTCACACAACACGTCAAAATATGAAAAAAAGTTACACGCGAACATTGCTTTTAATATTAGTTTATTTTAGAATCAATTCTGGTTTTGTAATTATTACATAAGACAACGCGTGTGCGTCTATTTTAGTCTTAAGCATGATCTATAAATATATTATTATTTTTTTAAATATCGTCTGCAAAAATATACATATAATTTATAGTGACGTATTCCAATCTTAATAGCCTTTCCATTTTTGGTCAACGACTTACCATTTAGTCTAATTAGATTTCTAAAATTTCTCGAGCGTTTTAGAAACCGCTGTTTTGTGAGCATGTAGCCTTTGAAAATCAATTAAAATGTATGTTCTTACATCAAAATGTCCCACTAGGAATAAATTTTACTAAATTACCATTATTAATGATGTTTCTATACAAAGATTTGCATACTTAGAACATTTTGGGAGTATTAAAAGCCATAGTTTCAACTCAAGTATGGTATAAAACTCAAATAAAACCGAGTATTTTATTTGACAATACTAAAAACCCTGGCATGCAGCGCATTTTGACCGTGTTGTAAAGAGCAATAATTTTGTCGTTTTAGTTTTTATAACCCTTTGATAATTATCATACTGTTAAGAATTACTTATTAATTTTATAATACAGAATTATATATAGAAACAATTTTATTCAATAAAAATCACACAGAGAGTTTGTTTATAATTATGTCCTTTTTAAAAATGCTAAAAATAGTCACTTGCCTAATGTAATGTATTTTTAGGAACAATCAAATCGAATATTTTTCTTAATTAAAGCGGCCATGCCGCCAGCTTCATGCTACTTTATATGATTTTTTTATTTTGAAAATTTATTTAAAAGTAATATATTATGAATTGAACACGGAAAGTAATTTAAACATTGCAAACAATACGACAATTTAACGTAAATTACAAAAAAAAGGTCAAAATATGCATTGATAACTCTTACTGTGTTAGTCACGCTATAGAAGTATGATGATAAATTCTGCAAAATCAGCCATTAATCCTACATAACATGTAAGTTATTATCTTTTCACCTTTCTTAAAATACCTGTACATTTTTCTCAAATGTGATTTCCAGAAATAGTTTGTCTCATTTGGAGGTATGCAGCTTTAACTTAGTTTTTTATGTTAAATATTGCATTTTGATATTAACTTTATAGTTAAAACAAACTTTAAACAAATCAGCTGAAAACTTATTTCAGCCGCGTCACGACAAAACCAACATAGTGGGTTTGCGACCAGCATGGATCCAGACCAGCATACGCGCAGTCTGATCAGGATCCATGCTGTTCGCTTACAAACCCTATAGCAAGTAGAGAAACTGATAGCGAACAGCATGGATCCTGATCAGACTGCGCGGATGCGCAGGCTGGTCTGGATCCATGCTGGTCGCAAACCCACTATGTTGGTTTTGTCGTGACGCGGCTCATTTTAAACTGTCAGAAGTATCTTATACTAGTAACAAGCAACTTTCCGCACGGTGGTTTTATAAATCAAATGATCAAAATGTCTGCGTTCCAAATGCGAGGTCGTGGGTTCGAACCCTTCTGGATTCACTGCCATGTTTCAAATCAAGACACAAGATCTAAGGATAAAACAAGAAAGATTCGAAGTGATATAAATAAGTTTGCAATTTTCTTAACAATCAATAAAAAGGTAATGAAATTTAACTAAAAAGGTGCAATTAATAATTATTTTTATTTTCCTATTTTGTGACTTAGAGCAATAGTTCTCCGATCATACAAAATCGGAGATATTTCTGTTCCAAAAAGTTACATTTGTGTATTTACATATTGTTTTCTTGCTATGTGTCATAAAAATGTCCCCAATAAACTTTGTGTTTTATATTATTTTTTAACTTTTGTTTAAACAACTCGTAATTGTCACGGAATTTTCAGAAACACGTCGTACAGGGACATCGGTCGTACAAAGACACCCGTCAAATAAGGACACCTGTCGTATAAGGACAATCGTCGAATATAAAACTTCTTACAAGTATTTGAATAAGCCGGGCGTTCAAACTTTTCCACACTGACTTATACAAGTATACGCATGTATTCTGTTAACTTTTTTGGAAAAAAAACCTGTCATTTGCTTGTTTTAACACGAGCCTCGTTTTTTGTTGATTTTTACTGCCATAAGTCAAAGATAATGTTGCAAAAAATATATCAAAGATGACCCACAACTGACTTACAATTGGTTCGTCAAATATCTTTGTTTTTTATCTCTATTTTAATTCCGCAGACAGACAGACGTGTTCGGACATCTTCAATATGTTAACGCTATATACTAACATCTAAATGTCATATACCTATCAAATATTTATCTTACCTCACTGATTTCTCAAGTTGTGAGCGATGTAAATACACCAACGATTGTTTAATCACAAGTGTTTCTACTTAAAAATTTCTTTTAAAAAGCCTTAACTTGTCAAATCTTGTACACAAGGCATTGTTTGTTTTAAGGAGTTTAGATAAAGAAACCACCTTAGCGGGCACGTTTTTAAAAGTTTAAAGCGTCTTTGAACCCTGAGTGAATATCAATTTGTTTCGGGGGCCACCTGTTAAACTTGAAAAAAACAGAGAAGAAAGAGTATGTTCATAAGAACAGGGCTGTAAAAATATTTACTGAAAGATTAGGACCCTTAAAAATCTGATTTATTAGTTTGTTTTAGGGGGCATAAAGGGTTTTAAGCGAATGAAGGAATTAATTCAGGGCTTCTTACATATTTTAAAATGACTTTCAAATGGAATTTTTACTACTTCAAACATTTATTTTTTGGTAATATAACTAATTATACATCGAAATTTACATAACCGAAAGCTGATATCATGAGTGTTTTAATATATGAATATAGCAGTCTAAGAGAAGTTGGCCTCACAATTCTGTTTCGTTTCTAATGATAATAATCATTATTTTTATCATTATTTATTATTATTATTATTATTATTTATTATTATTATTATTATTATTATTATTATTATTATTATTATTATTTTATTATTATTATTATTATTTTATCATTATTATTATTATTATTATTAATATTATTATTATTATCATTATTATTATTATTATTAATATCGTTGCTGCTGATGATGTTGTTGTTTAGCGTGTTGAGTTTAAGCACTTAAAAATGGGACCTCGATTTTTAAATTGTCATCAGAAAGACTGTAAAGTAATATTAGTTGACCAGACCGGGAATCGAACCCACGGAGTCGAGATTACAAGTCACGCGCTCTAACAGATTGAGCTATGTTGGCTAGCATTTCAGATTAACTGGTTTGTAATGTTTTTTCTCACTTATCATGTTATCTAGCATGTGACCTTTTTATGTCACTATTCCAGATTAATTATGCGAAGTTTTTATCTCACTATTTCAGATCCACCGGCCTGTGATGTTTTATTTCACTATTTTAGATCTTTTAATGTCATGATATATTTTATATTTCAGATCAACTCGTCTGTGCTGTTCTTATTTCACTATTTCAGATCTTTAAATTTTATGATTTATTTTACTATTTCAGATCAACAAACCTTTGATTGAGAAACGACGTCGAGCAAGAATCAATGACTGCCTAGCACAACTTAAAACCATCGTACTTGAGGCTAACCATTCTAAGGTAATTACTTTTAATTAAAACCATTCTACTCGAGGCTAACCCTTCTAAGGTACAAACTTTTAATTAAAATATTGTACTCGAGGGTAACCATTCTAAGGTATTATTACTTTTAAATCAAAACCAATAAAGTTGAGGCTAACCGTTCGAGGGTAATAAATTTTAATCTTAAAACCATGCACCGTTGTTGAGGCTGTCAATTCTTAGGCAATATCTTTTTAACAAAATCTATCGTTCTCGAGGCCATCCAGTCTAAGGTAATACCTTTTAAATTTAAACTAATATTCTTGAGGCTATACAATCTAAGAAAAAAACTTTTAATATCCATCGTAGTAGAATCTATAATATATTCGGCAATGTAATAGAAAAATACATTCGGCATATAAACAAGAATACGCAATAAAGCTTTCTGTAAATATATCTTTCATACAAGTCCTTTATTTATTTACCTTCCTTTTTTCTTTTTTTTTCTTTTAGTTATCTATGACTCATTGATGCTATACGTTTGTGTGAGAAAATGAAAACGTAAAGAAAATACGTATATCAATGAAAGAAATGATCTATATCAATCCCTTCTTTTCAAATTCATACCCAAAATCATTCAGTACTTATCATTTTTTTTTGATCATGTACAATAGGCCTATCAAAAATATATAAAGACACCCATTTATATCATCTCTTTTGAAGGAATGTATTTATTTCTTATGATATTTTATCACAATTATACCCTATTTAAGTCCAATTTTTATGATTTTTCATATAAAGTCGCGTACATGCTTATAGATGAATGACGTAATTGCCAATATCTGCATGGAAAAATACTTCAAAGGTGATGAATTGCATGAAATGGCCATAAAAAAGTTTATCGACGCATTACTATCAAAACATTTTTCATATATAAATATATGGTTTATTTTATATTCAAACCGTTTATTATGAAATAAGCTTTTATAAAGTATTTTTAACACAAAGGCGAATAAAATGTAAAAATGAACATTAAGTCCCCAGTTTTAATGCATCACAATTTTGTGCAGGCACCATCGTATACATGTTTTATAATAATATGTAGAACAAAAATGTATGTGGTACGCAAAATACAATAGCAAAGCAACAGCAACACCAATAACAACAACAAAAAGTAAGAATGTTTTTAGCCGTATTGAAATTGATACAAAGTGAATCCAATGTTGTCAACATTGTCACAATCCTATAAATGGGTGTGCTATATACATGCATATTAAAGGTTTTTCATTATATAAATGTACATTTTTTTCAATATTTGGCTACATGTCATATACTATACCTTTTAGTCTTGTTGTTTTTATTTATTTGTCATTATTTTTTTTTATTTTATTTATTTATTTTTTTTTTTTGGGGGGGGGGGGGGGGGAGTCCATAATTTTAGGCATTTAAGGAAATAAAATCGACATAATGGAATACGGGTTGTTTTGTCAATACAGAGACATCAAGGTTTGTTAACTTACATTATATGTCACGTAAAGGTGGTTTTCGTAAAATTGTGTTGCGCAATTCGCTAATATCGAGCCCAAAGACATCCAAATCACCTCACCATGTCTCCTAAGCTATTTCCGTTCGCAATGTTTACCAACATTTTTTCTGAAGCTAAAATGTCAACATGTTAATTTTATTTAAGCCCAAGGGCTTATTATGTCCGATGCAGTTTTTGAATTATTGGGATTACGGACTTTCACTAAATTTGCCAAAGTATTATCTTAGTTGCACGTGTTTAGATAAGACGAGAGGTAGATCTCTCCACATGTGCATCCATTTTTATATAGCTCGTATAAATCTAGTGAGTCCTGTCACGTTGCATAAAAGCAAAACGACAAGATTTATTTTCATTTCTCCATTATCCGTCTTTTCCGTTAAACTTCGGATATGGACGGATGCCGATTGATAATCGGTCAGATATCCAAATTAGGAGTCATTTAATATACGGAAAGTGAAGAAATATGCCTAATTTACACGAACTGGTCACATGAATATTGCCGATGCTTGAGTAATAAGCATGCGTGTTAAAAGAAAAGAAAATTATCTTAGACGGTCCTTTGCGTTATTACCATTAAAGCTTTTAAATTATGATCAAACTGAATAAAATGAAATAGGAAATTTATTTAAATCAACGGTAGTTTCACGTGAAAGCCGAGCATCAAGACAAAATTACGTCATCAATTCTAAATCTCTGGTATGGACGTAGATTTTTTTTAAAATTCACATTACACTTATAAAGTTTATATGGAACTTAGGTCGCGCACCACTGTGAGTTCGAATCCCGACAAGTTCGAATCCCCGCAATAGTTTCGGATTCTATTACGTTACAATGTTATTAAACAAGGTTCTGTCATTGCGAGAATCTAAAATAATGTATTGAAGCGTACCTGAGGCCTTCCTCTGCAACATTAGTTTGAAATTCGCATTACATTAGCTGTGTCTGTGTCTCTAAAAACCAATTCCAAACTATGTAGAATCTGTTCTTGAACAAAATGTTAATAGTTTTATTACATCGCTGTGATTTATACTTTGCATTTGATTATAAAAATACTAGTATATGATACGTTCTAAATATAGACAAGCTTTCAAATGATAAATGATATAAAGATGATATACTGTCAAATTAAACGTGATCGATAAAAGATTACGAAATATTACATATTGATAATGTATCATTTATTTCCAAATATTTCAAAATTATGTGTTAAATTGTGTTTAATTTCGCACTGCATGGACTGGCAAATAAAATATATAGTTGTCATAATGTAATAATTTGAATAATTATTGTAATAAATAATATAAAATTGTGATAATAAATCAGGATGAATGTCAACTTACAGCAACTAAACTCCAGATTGTGTGTTATATTTTATGAAAATCTAACAAAATGTACTATAATGTATAAAACCATTCTCAAGTATACAAAATAAGTGTTTCATAAGGGTCTACTTTAAACAGAAAACACCTTTTAACATGTCTAAAAAGTAAACACATTTCCATTACTTCGTTAGTAAAGGGGTAGAATTTTAGTGCTTAAACTGGTGAATTATGTAATATTTTCCATAATACAGTATTATATTATAAAGTTTCACATTTATTGTGATTTTCTGTACATTTCTTAAATTATGAATTCATTTTTATTTCTTTAAGTGTAATTTTGTGAACCATTATTTACTTTCTATGTAGAATATAAGCGTCTAAGATCTATAGATTCACAAAAATTATATAACATAACAGAGCAGAAGATAAAGAAAGAAATGAAAGAAGAAAAGAAAGAAAGAAAGAAAGAAAGAAAGAAAGAAAGAAAGAAAGAAAGAAAGAAAGAAAAAGAAAGAAAGAAAGAAAGAAAGAAAGAAAGAAAGGAAGAAAGAAAGAAAGAAAGAAAGAAAGAAAGAAAGAAAGAAAGAAAGAAAGAAAGAAAGAAAAATAAAAGTTTGCGGAAAACTATTAAACCAAATAAGGAATTAGAAAAATCAGCAGAAATGCGATACTAAGAAAACAACAGGACGACGAAGCGACAACAACAAGTTTATTATCAAAACTGAGTTAGGGTCATAACTGAAGAAATAAAATGAGGTTTAAAGCAAAATTCAGGTAGTTTGAATGCTATAGAAAAGCAAAATAAATTAATGTATGCATAACCCTTTACCGGCAGTTCACGTGTTATTAAAACCATAAACTTTTATCGCTAAACAAACAAAAGTAAGAAATAAAAAAAATCTTGAACCGAAATTTGGCGATTTATCAAAAATCCGTGCGAATAAAGAAACCTCGAATTAAATGCTTATATGACACCCCAATATTGGGGGATTGGATACATATAGGGCTCTTTGTTCAAATACGTATGTAAATAATGAAGATAGCGGTTTTAAGATTTCGATAGGAGATATCTTGAAACGGGCAGACGACTTTAGCACGAGACATGCCAACGCACGCGCCTACACGCGGTTAATATTCTACGCAGTTCGATTTCAATTTTCTTTATTAAAAGTTAACAATTTTGTTTATAGGATAAATCTTTATTTGTTATGCTTTATATTTCTCATTATTTTGTTGTTGTTGTTGTTGTTGTTGATGATGATGATGATGATGATGTTGTTGTTGTTGTTGTTGTTGTTGTTGTTGTTGTGGAGGAGGTGCTTTTTCTTTTCTAGTTTCCCGACCTGTTTACAAAACGATAAATTATTGTGATTTTTAACGCCGTATGATAAGTACGCAACAGAATATCCAACGAAAAATTCTGTTTTCTAAAATGAAGAATTAGTATACATGTATATTTGGGCGGAAAATAACTTCCGGGGCTTTTATCAACAAAAATATCGTGCGATAGAAACAATACATTCTTTGTACAAATTGAATAAAGAACAAAAACATTGACACTGAAATGTGTCAGTTTGTTTCCTTCCGAAGTGTCGTCTGCTAATTTATTTACATACCATTCGTGTATACATCAAAGTTTAAATTCTGTCCAATAAAACCAAATGAGATGGAAAAAAATGACTGGGCGCTGGGAAATAAATTAGTCCCGAAATAAATGAGAATTGCATGTGAAAAAAAAATATCTTAAAAAGAAAAATAATGTAAACAAGTCTCTTTCATGTTGACCAAATTTGTCGAAAAAAAGAAAACGTATGAAAGGATATTTATTTTCGCCAACAAGTTTTTACTTGTAAACGACCCTGGTTTTTATTATCAATCACCTCTGTTAAATACGAACGCCGCAAAGACTCGTCTACTCCAATAGATCGTAAATCTTTTAAAGTATAAAACGCGAACTTAAAAAGCAATTAATTTACGCGAAATCGTTTGTTAAAATCGATCCGGTAATCGACTGTCATTTCGTTCAATGAAAGCACATTACTCAGGGTTCAATGGTATGACACAAACTAAAATAAAATCATACGCTTCTTTATTAGATATCCCCCTTTTAATAAGTTTTCAAAATTAACATATCTTTCTACTTGTAAGCGACCGTGCAAATGCAATTTTCCGCTGTGATGAAACTTTGTAATCAAAAGATATGCGTTTTAAATTCTTTAATTTGAGTTAATATTTTAATATTTTCTTCGTATTTTTTGCGTGTTCCCTTTTAATAAGAAAATTTACACTAAAAGTGCAATCTAAAAAGATTAAACGATTACGTAATCTAAAATGTTTGTAATTCTGTCGCCTCCTTAATTAAGTAAAAAATAAATAAATTTGTGTGTCTGGCGCGCAGTAATTCACACGCTTAATAGGTACAAAATAGTTCTTTACCCCATACCACCCTAATTATACTAAATTGACTCATCCATTTTTCAGTTTGGACAAACCATTTATTATTTATAGGGAAAATTTTAAAATCATGTATTGACTAAACGACTGATCTTGCATCCTGCACTGGTCGAGTTGCCGCCACTAGACTAAGGGTTAATATTATAGAAAGCTATCATTTCGTTACTATAAACAGCTTCCGTGGCAAGTCTATACACCTATGCTGACAGAACTATGGTGGCTGGTTTGGAACGCTTTTATGCGTAGTGTTGGCGCTAGCGACAACACGACAAAGTGCCAAACGGCGCGTTGTCGGACTTTCGTCTTTTCGTCCTGTCGCTAACGACGTACGCCAAACGACGCGTTGTCGTGCGGCGTGTTGTTGCGATGTTACATTGTCGCTCGGTTCAAATCGAAGGATAAGCTTATAAGCTAAGCGACAGGGCGACATCGCGACAACGCGCCGAACGGCAACGCGCCATTTGGCGTGCTTCGCTAGAGACAGTACGACAAGACAACAGCGAGACAACGCGCCTTTTGGCGCTTTGTCGCGTTGTCGCTAGCGACAAGACGAAAAGGCTATAACTATGTAGGTTGCGTTGTCGCTATCGACAATGCAACGCGCAATGTTCCAAATCAGTCACTATATTGAACAGAAATGAATGAAAAACTCCGATAAACAAGCCCGATCCAAGGCAGGCAGCCACATCCCTGACACAAAATCACACACACACAAATAGTAAATACTTTATATGTTTCCTCTGATCTGGATATTTAAATGTCTATAGAAAAAATTGATAAATGAATAATTAGGACATTAATGTAAATAAAAATATATATCATTTTAAAGAAAAAAAATAGCATGTAAGAAAAGCACTGCATAACACCTATTACATTTAATGCAATGACGTTAACGATATTATTTTTCGAAAAATCGTATTTAATGTACACTTAAGAAGAATCAGAATGTTTTTAAATTTGATGCAAATGGCCGACAAAAAGTGTTCATATCAGTTTAATATTGCAATTTATCTATTTTATATGGGTTTAATTTAAAATAAAACGTTTATTTCCCATTAATTATATGTATAATGTTCTAAATAAACTTCGATGCAGAGCGCAGATACCCATTTCTCTTGCATTAGATTTAATAAGGGCATAAACAATAGGTCAAGGTCACACTTAAGAAAGGGTTTTACTTATTAATTATCATTTGATTAATTTAACATTATTGAAATCACTATAACAAACTCGTCATAGCATTCAAGATATATTAGCTTTTATATAGCGTTCTTTCTTTCTTTCTTTTCTTTCTTTCTTTCTTTCTTTCTTTCTTTCTTTCTTTCTTTACTTTCTTTCTTTCTTTCTTTACGTTCTTTCTTTCCTTCTTCTTTCTTTCTTTGTTTATTTCATTTTCTTTCTTTATTTCTGTTCCTTCCTTTCTTTTTTTATTTCTTCTTATTCTTTCTTTATTTATTTATTTCTTCTTTTCTTTCTTTCTTTCTTTCTTTCTTTCATTCTTTCTTTCTTTTTCTTTCTTTATTTATTTCTTCTTTTTTTCTTTCTTTCTTGCTTTCCATTTCTTTCTTTCTTTCTTTTGATTTATGTGAGAAAGTCATGTATTATGGGATTAAATGTGTGTTTATCAAAGGTGTATTTCTATTTTCAGTCACCTCGTCCATCAAAGCTCGAGAAAGCGGATATTCTTGAGATGACGGTAGAGTTTGTAAAGAACAAGTTAACCACAGATAGTGGTAAGAAAAAAAACTTTTTAAATTCTTTATTAATGATTAAAAGTTTGAGTTCATCAAGGGCAGTGTCAATACGAATGAACGCTTGCTTCTTTGCAAATCTAATTAATTACTTCCATTCATTCACCCCGAAAACCCAGAACATTAGTCACTAAACACATTTGTGTCTATTTGATAAAAGAATAGAAAAGTAATACTTATAGTGGTTTATTTTTGAATGAATTGTTTTAGTTTTTTTTTAAACATTTGAAGTTCCCAGCTTAGAATGACTATATCAGCATTTCAGCTGTGAATAATATACCGTTGACTGATCTGTATCATATCAAGTTTTAGATGACTCTATCTTTTTACTCCTGCTCTCCTTTTCATCATCATAATCATCACCATCATTAACAACAACAACAACAACATCATCATCATCGTCATCATCATCAACAACCTCATCATCATCATCATCATCATCAACAACATCATTATCATCATTATTATTATCATCATCATCATCATCACCATTATCATCATCTCGATCTCCTCGTATTCTCTTATTTCTTCTCCTATTTCTTCTTCTTCTTTTCCTCCTTCATCATCATCTTATTCTTCTACTACTTATTCTTCTCTTTTTGTCATTCCTCTTTTCTTGTTTGTACTTCTTCTCCATCTACTTCTTCTTAAAAAGTACCTCCTTCTTCTTCCATTTCCATTTCTTCTTTTTCTACCATAGCTCATGCAATAATTTACTTTACCATTCAAAAACAAATGTCAGTTACTTTTTTTTGTTTGTCCACAGGTTCTAAATGCGGTCAGACAATGGCGGAAGATGATCATTTAGACTACGTAGCGGGCTATTCCAAATGTCTTGCAGAAATCTCGCACTTTCTCGAGGAAACGAAACCAGCTAATGACACTTTGAAACAAGATATCGTAGAGCATGTTTCAGACAAATTAAAATGTTATCTTATTAAAGATAGTAAAGAAGACACAACTCTTAGAAAATTACCAATTCCACCATTGTGCAAAAGATCAAAAGAATCGAAAATAGTTTCTGATGAAGCAATGGATTTGAGTGTATGCGTGAACAATAATGAAAGAACTGATGCTGCAAGATCAGCAGCCATTGATAATAACGTGCCAAAAGAGTTGTCAAATCAAAAGACAGAACCCGTCACTAATAATAATATTAACCAATCAGGGCCATTTGGACTACTTTGCGGAGGCCAAGTAATGTTATTGGTTCAACTTCCGCAATCAGTGACTTCACAAGTTCAGATTCAAAATTTTCAAAATATTAACCAATCACAAAGCAGTATTCCAATGGTTGGCGTGCAACCGATGTCAGTCGCAACACAGCCTCACATATTGAATCAAACTATTTGTAGGAGTGACCAAACACTAATGTGTCCAACCCCTTTAACTTTTCCACAGGTTACAGTAAGCGGCAGCCAAATAGAAAATCACCAAAGCTTTCCGACTATTTATCCAACAATTCAAAACGATTCCAAAGGAAAACTTGAGAATCACTGGAGACCTTGGTGACACGACTTTTCCTGTTAGAACTATAGTTATAATTATATTGTTGAATAAAGACACGGCAGCGACCTATTCCGGGTAGAAATACGATGTGTAGCAATGGAACGCTAGCGGCTTATTCCAGTTGCAACAATAATGTTGAACAAAGACACGCCAGTGGGATATTCTTCAGCTAGAAATATATAATATAGGATAGTGGTATGCTATGGTGGTATATTTCTGCCACAAGATAACCATATAACTAACTAGTTAATTAAGAGGTTAACTAGTTACGTAACTAGTTAACCTCTTAATTAACTAGTTAGGTATCAGGTTAACTAGTTACATAACTAGTTAACCTCTTAATTAACTAGTTAGGTATCAGGTTAACTAGTTACGTAACTAGTTAACCTCTTAATTAACTAGTTAGGTATCAGGTTAACTAGTTACATAACTAGTTAACCTCTTAATTAACTAGTTAGGTATCAGGTTAACTAGTTACGTAACTAGTTAACCTCTTAATTAACTAGTTAGTTATCAGCCTATCTGGTGGCAGAAATATGCCACCATAGTATGCCTATTGCCTACTGCGGGAAGATAGATGATAACACACTTATAGTAAGAAACGGGGAGTCCGTGGCCGAGTGGTTAAGGGCGTTGACTTAATAACCACTTGTCCCTCGCCGCTGTAAATTCGAATCCCCCAGGGACTTTGGATTCTTCCATGTGAGACAGCTACCTAGCTAGCTTACGAAACGCCGGTGGTTCTTCTCAGGTTGCTCCTGAAATAATGCATGCAGGGACACCGGAGATCTTCCTGCACCAGTAAAATTGGACAGTCGCCATGTGATCTATACTGTGTTAGTGTGATGTAAAACCCAACCAGTAAGAAACGATATTGTCTGATATTTCCAAGTCACAGATTTACAATTATATTTATTCATGTCTGTGTTTCCAGTTACATCTATAGTATGAAAGTGGCAATAACCCCTTAGAGAAAAGGAAGTTTAGGCATTAAGCAATAACAGCTATGGAAACACGTCCATTATTTTGGTACGTCAAGTTGGCTTGCACTCTAAATCATAAAGAATTGTGCAGAAGTACCATTAATCTCACAAAATATGCAAAACTTCACTTCCATTTTGGTTTAAAATTTATTTGACATGTGTTAACATTCTAAGTAAGCATTTAGAACTATGTTCATAGTACTTATAAGCCAGTTTGAGCTAAGTTAAATGTACACCATCTTAAGAGCCACGCCTACTTTAGCGAGATACTGACGTAGCATGCCAATCTCGATAGCCACGCTTACTTTAGCTAGAGACTAACGTGGCATGCCCACCACGATTGAAACAAACTGTCTGTGATTTTTAACCTTGTAACATTATAATTTTATTTACATTGAACAAAAAGCCGAATGTTTGTGATTTGAATTATATTTATATATACATTTGTATTTAGAATATATTTAATTGTGCTATTTTATTATACTATTGAAAAAAGATTATATTTCCGTAAACATGTTTATTCCGTCTTGTTTCTATCTGTAAACTTGTAAGCAAGGTCTTGTACAATACATTGCATAGATGTGTTTCTTCTTTCCCAATGTATCTGTGGGTCTTTATTTTTCATAATATTCAGGATGACGTTAGACTGGTCCCCTGCGTACTTCTAAAAAAGTGCATCTTGGATGGTAAGCAATAATAGGACTGGAAACCAGAGTAGGATGACGTCAGCGGATCGACATTGTACATAAAAGATAACTGGCATTTTAAGTCCTTGGATAATTTAAATTAAATTTATAATTGTCTAGTTGAGGCGAATTTTCTTTACCTCAGAATATTTCGATAATTATCTTTAAAAGGCACGGAGTTACGAACTTGGACGAAGTTTTACGAGCTTATGTTGTTTGTAACAACTTTGTGTGATCTTTTAATATCACGAAAAGATATACATGTAGTATGTATTTATCGTCCTCAACATGATAATTTGCAAAAGTAAATATGAAACTGTGGTTAAAACAGTCTAAAGAACACGGCGTACGGCGTGTTGTGCGTTCCATACAAAAATAACAAAATTTCAATATATCCCTACATAAAAAAGTATATGAAAGAATTTTCGATTATAGAAAATGTTTTAATACTTTGTCAATAAGGAATTTTACTGTTTTTAATTGTATTGGAGCGGACTCGCAGCGGGCATACAAGATTGCTTTAAAGAAAAGGGTAAAGGCGTAAACAATGTTAAACATCTTGTAATAGGATGAGTGTCCTTCGTTTAAACCAGGTGTCATCTGGACATATGGGAACAGATCGTGACCAAATTGAATGTGAACAGCATACCTCGCTTGATTGAAATGAAAAAACAAGTGTCGATTTTTATGTACTCCGTTCATTAACCGGCCCAACATAAATATACAAGATGGACGTGTTCTTTTTGTGTGTGCGGCTTTTACAAAAGACGGTCTCTCGAGCCACACACGGTGAACGGTTTTAATTGGCCGCTTAAAAAGGACCGTGAATGAATTAAAAGAATTTAATAGATAGTTTTACGGTGTGATTGATTATTGTACGTACAATGTATACCTGTAAAAATATCCTCTGAATGCATCTTTGTATTAACACTATTCCAGATGGTCAGGCCATTAAGTATGGGTTTTATACATCAAACAACATTTCATTGTGCAGAAAAAACGTGCAGATTTATTCATTTCTAACGTTTAGCGAAAAACGAAAAAAGAAAAATGCATGGTGATGGGAAAATGGCAGATTTATGGGCATTTTCATGGGACTGGTGATAGATAATAAAACATTTCTCGAAATGCCATTTTCCATTTTAAGTAGATAATTAAAAAAACGTAACAAGTTAAACTGAATTGAACATTTTCAATGGCAAAGAACAACTAAACTCGTGTTTTGTTTCATTATCCCTCTTAGTTGTGTCCTTCAAAATAATTTCGGACCTCTATGGCTCAGTGGCGGGCTCAGAAACATTGTACAACACCGCTTATGGTTTAAAACCCGACAGGAGCATATAATTCTTGTAGAATATGGAAGGTCGGCACGTGAATATACTCACAGTGCCCGCTCAAGCCTAAAGTAATATAAGGAAGAAGACCCGAAGCCTTTGCCAACCAAGAAAGTCGGAAAGTAACCATACGACTATTACACATTTTCCTCGAAATTAACATTATATGCGGTACAACATGATATAATTTCGATTGAAAGAACCGTAGATATCTAATCTTGTTCTAAAATATCTGAAAAAAAATTCTCATTGTAAAATTAAATTTATACCCAAGTGGAATTCGGTAAGAATATCTGATGTCATATACAAAATAGGAAGACATTTAATTATTTGTAAACCTTCTCCGCTGTTAAAATTGTTTTGTACATTTATGCTATATACTGTCTTGTCATATATAATGCATTTGTATATCCTCATGGACTATATAGCCTTATGGAATATTGAAAATAAATTTAACTTATCAAACTTATCATATCAACACGGCCTGTCAATAAAAGATCTTCTTTAATGTTAAAGATGTATCAAAATTTAGTATCATGTGACTAAACGGATGTAAAGATGAAAGTGCGGTGACCTTGTTGTAAAGTATCTTCTTTAAACACCACGGGATTGTAACAGTTCGAAACCTTCAGCAGTCACATTCATCTTGCCTCAAACGGCACCGGCACCGGTACCGCGGCACTGCCATACACAGAAAGGGGACTCGAAGTGTCATGTTAAACAAATGTTGATGACAACAGTGTCCGCTGCAAGATTGCTACATCTCGGCAAAAACAAAAACAAAACAACACCATTTTACCAGCAACATGTTATATTAAAAGACATATTAAGTTCGCATTTTCATATTTCGTTCGTGGATACACCTATATGATGAAGAAAAAATTAATTATTGCGGGGGCCCCCACCTGGGCACATACTTTCATCTCACACCTGGCCTGTACCAAATCATGGTCACTATCAGAATTACACCATCGTGTGAATTTTACAACGTTGTTAAAGTTACATTACAAGCTCATAAAATCCGGCCGTTTGATTAATATCAACTATACAGAATAAAGACTTCAAGTTGCTGGGAGCAAATACACGTAAACAAAGACTCCCAAAGTACGTACATTAACATTAACTTGATAACTATTTAAAATTCTTACGCACTTGTATTTTTTTGCTTTTCCGTAACAATTCGACATCTATTTATTGTTAACATCTCGTGGGTAAAACGGACGTTCGCGTTCATGGCATACGCACCTGGCTCGTTTTTGTTGAATAGATGTATAAAATAAAAGTGCAAAGTAATAAAATTAATAAATCATCGAAAATCGTAAAGTCAGCTATTTTGATACTAGATACAGGTATATAGGTATATACATGTATAGAAAAACTAAATATATCGTACTTAGGACCGTTCATGTAAATACCTTTAAATTTCAGAATGCATTCTCGGTCTTAAAATTCGATGATCTGATTTGCTTATCAAATTCAATAAAAAAAACTCGAATAACTGTTAAACGCATTTCAGCAGCGTCCGATTAGCTCAATAGGTAGATCGTTGGACAGTGAATCGGGCGATCCGGATTCGATTCCCGGAAGAACGCCGTGCAGTTCACTTTCGTTGTGATTGATCATAAACTCCTTTATACGGTCATTCGCACTGTACCTCTGCAGAAGTTATAAGTTCCTTGCAAAAGTGAAGGCAACTAGTACTGGTTAACTGTTTGACAGCTTACACAGTGACTGAACTGTGCTCTGGTAAATTTAATGTTGCTGACAGCTGATATTCGGAGTAAAATCTACCTACACCAACACCAAATGCATTTAATTAACTTTAACTTAATCACATTATGTGTTTATAATATAAAAGATACACAAGTGAGAAAACAGAAAACAGATTTTCAGATGCATCCTTTATTTGGTGACTGGACTACAAGAAGTCTAGTCCAGGCTTTGTTTTTCTTCAGTTTTTGTCAGTACAGGTCTTGAGCAATGAATGGTTCTTGTAAAACAAACCGTTAACGGGAGAAACAGGCTAAACTTACTCCATGCTTCAGATAAATCTGTTTTGCCAAATATTAAATTGTACAACTTCTTTAAAGGCACATTAAGCCTCAGAAAATAATAATTTCTTCTTCTTAAGAAAGGGTTAGTATGTGTTTTAGTAGCTTTTATTATTTGATTTAGAGCGTGTAAGGTGCTTA